GAATCGACGTTTTAAGTTCCTGGAGCTCACACCAATACTTTCTGGACCTAGCGCCAGTTAAGCACCATTTCTTCTCTCTTCGCTGAATCAAATGAAAACCGTCATTTTATACAACGAAAGGACCCTGGAAAGTGACCTAGCAACTTCTTCGAGTCCTAGAAAGGCGACTTTTGGCGCGGAAGCACCAAGGAATTTTTGAAATACTAGAGAACAAAGTAGTTGACAATAACTAGTTGATTATTTCACAGTAATAATCGTAAAATATTGAGATTTGATGTCGTCGAAAGCGGTAGAATACATCCCCTCCCTGCGAAAGTGTGCTGCTGCTCAGGTCTCTTAAAACCTTAAACTCAAGTGAAATGGTATGCGTGGAATGCAAGCACTTAGGGAACTCAGATGACACCCAACACCTGGGTCGTGAGGAGGTAAATGTGAAAACGGCAATAAAACTATCAAATGGCACCCAATTTTTGCAGTTTACTGGAATGTGCTCATGTCATGAAGGAAGTCAGTTTTATGGTTTGCATAAGAGCAGACACACATGTTCTAGACAACTACACACAAAAAAAGTTCAGTCTGAAATAAATTCGCGACGTTTTGGAGATGGGACATTCTTCGAGAGGGAACTTAGCATGGGTATTTCGAGAATGAGTAGCTTTTTGGAAATATCCATAATGAGTTGCTCAAAGACACTTCAGCCTTCGATTGAGCACACCGTCACTCTTTTTCCCCATAAGTGAAATATTAATCATTACTCTTGAGAGAGATGGGAGTTTTCTAAGAGCTTCAGCCGTAAATTTTGTAATATTCGGAGGATCTTATCCTGACTAGTTCTATTATAGAAAACCGCACAGGTGATAAGCGGCGACAACCTCTACCCTTCTTCGCCTTTGTCAACCATCGAATACCGAATTGATCTATATACTTTTTAGCCGCAGTCTAAAAGAAAAAGAAAAAAAAAAAAACAGAAGAGAAATATAAAATAAAATAAGAAAAAAAAGATAAAAAAAAAAAAGAGAAAAATCGTTAAAAAAATAAATGCAAAAAAAAAAATAAAATACAAAAAAAGAAAAACTAAAAAAAAAAAAAAAAAAAAAAAAAAAAAAAAAAAAAAAAAAAAAAAAAAAAAAAAAAAAAAAAAAAAAAAAAAAAAAAAAAAAAAAAAAAAAAAAAAAAAAAAAAAAAAAAAAAAAAAAAAAAAAAAAAATAATTCAGCAAGCCCAGGCTCCGGTACCATGCGAACCAAGTTCATACACTCTCTATCTTGGAGATGGGGAGGGGAGGGCTGCGTGCTTCGTTCAAATTTGATGAAGGCTGTCTTGAGCGTTTTCTGAGTCAAGTTACCTGTTTTTGTGGCTGGTCAAAGCTAAGATACGTCACTACAAGAACGAACAATATCCGCACCAGAAACGCAGCCGCACTAAGACACAGCAACGCCGCTCCACTTCAGATAGCTAATCCCAAGTCTTCAATAATGAAAACTTCATATCTCGTCTCTCAGGTTGACATCATGTAAGGTCAAAACTATGTACGCACAATATTGGAAGGTTAGTCATGTGTAACACCAAATGAACTCATTTCACTGTAACACAAGAAGGTGTAACTCTTTTACTTCATTTGAGCCGTGCTCGAGCAATTGAGTGAAAAGAACTGATTTCAAACTGTTTCAGGCACCAAAAGAACCAACGCCAAAACCGGAGCCGGTAAGTTCTTTTTCGTTTGCGGCACTCGGTTTCAACTCCATTGATAT